CAACCTAAACGATTCTGTGATTCTATGTGCTTCAAGTGTATTTTCTTACGTGGGCCGGAGGGTAGGAGTCTTCCTTCTGTCATACAGCATTTTGCGTTAAAGGCATGGTCACTTTCTTCAGACCTTTTTCTTTCCACGCTGTGTTTGCACTTCAGGCAAATACCCCTCCTCTGACTTATGCTGAGGTTCCGCTTTCAAGATTGCATTTGCAAAATGAAGATTAAGATTATTTTTTTCTCCAGGCGAAAGTTGAAATTTTGATTTTGGAACATGACTATGAAGCTTGGCGCTCTCCAAATCTTACTCCTCCACTGTGGTCAACCCAGGTCCTGAGACCCTTGCTCAGGGCTGGATTGTGCTGGCAGATTGCAGTCACACAAGCGTGAAGGATTTTGGCCGCATTCCTCGTGCCCTCCTTCTCCAGGCCAGGCCAGGCGGTCTGTGGGGCCAGGTCTGCCCTGAGGCGGTACGCAGGTACAGAGTGAGCATGAGGTGGACAGTATGTGTATGTACACACAGGGTGGGGAATTTGGGCAAGAACATACATTAAGTCTGAAACTTTACAACTAGTGATGCCTACCGAAAAGATAATACGAAGTTCTGGATTATAGCAGCTCTTCCATTAGAGAGGGTTAATATAGTAAAGGCACATTCTCCATGTTAAGAAGCCTTCAAGCACTAGTCCTCTAAAGGAGGATTCAAAACCAAAGTTTGGATAACTCTTCTGTTGTGGAAACAGTTTGACTCTAGGTTTCCGAGGAGCAGAGTCTCACGCACGTATAACAGCAAAAATTAATTTTTTAATTAAATGATGGTACGACAGAGCAACAGCTCGAGCTGGGTGCCTCTGGGGAGGGACTCCGAACAAAAGAATTCTTAAGTAATTATACTTTTTACAGTCTTACTTCCCCGCCTGCCAGTGACAGTCTCTTCTAATCTTCTTTACTGAGTCGGTGGTCTCTTTTTTCATGTCTACATCTCTGGACGGTTGCTAGACGTTGGTATGTTCCTGCTCCACAGTACCTTATCTTACCAAAGGTCAGCCGTTACCTCTGTTCATTCTGGTCACTCTGTTCTGTCTCCTTGAGGGCTGGTTCTAGCTGATTTTGCAGTTGCATCATCAGCCATGTTCTTCGGGTTACAGTTCAGTCCTGCGGCCTGCAGGCTTCACCTACTTTAGGCACTTATGCTAAGCTGAAGCTGTCAGCTACAATTTCCTTCTCTAACACTTCTTAATGTTAGATCTGAAATATCACAAGAAACAGATATTGGAGTTAAATTTATTAGACACAAACTCATAGTGGTGATCATTTTAAAGGGTAAGCAGAGAAGCTATTAACTTTATAAATTGGTAGGCCATTGTCTGGCTTTTCAGGAAAAGGAAATTTTGATTTTCTTAAAGCTGGTAACATTGAAAAGATATGAGAATGAGTGGTAAGCAATAGGCTTAAAAAAATTCTTTGCAGCTCAAACTTTTGACAGAGCATAAAAAAATTAAAGCATTTAAAATGTATATTCTGTAGGTTTTCCAAGAAAAAGCATTAGAGCCTGGAGGCACCTGTCAGATGACAAATAAGATAGTAATATCAATTTAAAGCATGCCTACCTGTGAGACAGATGTCCTCCTAGTAGAAATACATTTAAGGTGTATTCTCTGAAATACTCCTGACCATAACTAAATACATTTAGCCATGCACAGAAAGTTTCTGAAACTTAGCCTTAATTATGTTGTTTGCACGCCTTGTTCTCACTGGATTGCTGGTCTTACCATGGCTATCAAATATTGTTAAAACTGATTTCATGCAAACCACTCAAGACTTAGAACAAAATCAATAATGTATTTTAAATTTCCCATATTTGTGACTTTGCATTTTTTCCCACTGTTGTCTACATTTTTTCTCTAATTTTCACTTTTTCCATTATTTCATTTAATTTCCTGATCGGTACTTCCAAATCTTGCATGACATCTCTTTTTTTTTTTTTACTTGATTTTATTTCACAGATTTGCAGGTCTCTGGTCTATCACACAACGGGGAGCAGCCTGTACACTGTCCTCTACATATTCCAGCCTCGAGGTTAGAAGTTTGAAAACCACTGTGCAAACCCACTTTATCCATTTTTTTCAGGATCAGTTGACAAAAAACTATGCATGAAAGGAACCATAATTAAAACACATGCACAGAAATTTCATGAAGCTGCAATAAACAAATGATGAGACTTTGCCAACACTACCATTCAAGGATCACAGCCCCTCTAGTCATGTCAATCTATGAGCAACTCCACTTTCTACCTGAGCAAAAATTGGAAGATAACATACTTCATACTTCAGCCATTTACCCGAAATAACTGCTTTCAGTAATGACTTAACAGTTAATGCTTTGTTTGCTTAAAAAAAAATAACAAAAGCCCTGAAATGCCTGCAGAGAGCAACTAGTGCTGCCAGTACCTTACTCTGCTGTTCAGTAATTCACATAGCCATTGCCTACTGTCCTATGTAATGTCATCTCCATCATGAGTGGGAAGAATATTTTTTGCGTTACTGATTTGATCTTTGTTCCATAAAACGTTATCCCATCTTAAATCATGCATTTATTTGAATTATGCTGAGCTTCTAATTAAATGCAAAACCATCTTTACATTTGTAAAAGCTAGGAAGAATTTTTAGTCAAGCTTGGCTGGGTCTTTTCCATCTAGCCTGCTATAATCATTTTATGGAAGAATCACACTTCTTAGCTACCCTTGCTTATGTTAGGTAGATTCATAGTGGACTGAACCTGATCCCTAGATTACATTTGTGGCTTGAGGGAGCATCTAAGATTATGAACAACCAAATACTTAAGATCCCTACCCATCTAAAATTTTAGAAAACCAGTTTCCATTTGTAGAAGTTTTGGTTCCTTGGGAATATTAATTTTTTGCAAATGTGCATGCAGATGCTGAGATCACTCTTATGGTTAACACAGATGTGCATAGATACAGCTAAATACACTCCACATATGGAATCAAAGGAGTTGTGCCTCTAGATGCAAGTAGTCTATTGTCAGCAACTGTGTAGGTATGCCTCTACTACGGACTCACTGTAAATTTGGCCTATACAGTTACTTTTTTAAACAACGTGCTACCATTCAGTGCCAAAATTCTGCCTATGTCCAATGACCAAGAATGGCTGACAAAAGAAATGAAATGGAGCCCTCCTGGTTGCCCTCCTTTTCTTCCATCTTTGTATCAGTTTTGTTCCTTCTAGCATATACCTGTGTCCTTTTATCATGCCCACAGCTAATAGTCACACCACAGCCTAAATCCTTTTCTCCGTGGGAGGTATTTGTTACAGGGTACTTTTTGTACAGCAATATACATTACCTCTGGTGCAATGCTTGGTCCAACATGCTTCTTTGCTTCTGTAGTTGCGTGAGTAGTAAGGCAGGGACAATGAAAAACAGCAAAAGAAAATGCCTACCTCCAAAGCATACCTTTGGTGTGCCAGGTTAACTCTTTTAAGAATACTAAGTGTTCAGCTCCAGCGGTACTAGTCATCACATTGCAATGGCATGACTGTGATGCTTTGCAGAGGTTTTAGCAAAAGAAGGAATATTCAAATTTACCTTTCCTCTGACTTCTCTAATGGTCCTAATTTACATACAAGACCCACAAGATACACAGTCATCAGTTGTACCACAAACCAGTGTTCTCTATTGGGAAAGCAAGTAAGAAATCTCCCATCCCCTTCAAAAAAAAAAAAGTTTGAGAACTCCTTTTGAGAACTTCTGTTACCAATCATTACTGGGTTTCCAGAGGAAAAGCCTTTTTTAATACCGTGGTCCACCAGAAATCTGGCCCTGTAAGTAGCACACATACTAGAAAGGCCACTTTTTTTCCTCCCACCTGTCAGGAAAAGGGGAGGACTGCCAGTCTAGCATAGACTACCTCTCTACACAGGAGATATGTAATGAGATGTGCTTGATGATGTGAAGATGCTGATTTGAAGTCTTGCAGACCATGCCCGACCTGACCCATCTGATCTGAGCTGGCAGCAGCAGCTCCCCCTTGCCCTGGCACCCTTGTGCCAGCCTCTGTGCCCCTGCAAGCGGAAACCAAATCTTCCTGTTTTCTGGTTAGCTTCCAGCTCCTTGACCCAGCTCACCGTGCTGCTGTACAAACCCCCAGCAGGAGCTCACAGCTGTGCCATGAGTAGCAGAAGATTTGCCCCCATTGGGGCAAAGGTACCTGCTCCATCTTAAATGGCATTACCGAAACTGGTAGAGGAAGCCTTTAAAAAAAAAAAAAAAAAAACACAG